AAACAAGCAGTGATTGTTATCTAACATAAAACTGAACAACAGAAGTAAGCAGTACTTGGGAGATTCAATGGAGGGAGAGAGTCTGCTAGAAAGGGAACACAGTAAAGTTAATTTATATGGCATCAGCACCGAGGGAAGCTGGAGCTGGGCACAGTGGTGCGTGGCCTGTAGTCCCGGCTACTCGGGAGGCTGAAGCAGGAAGATCGCTGGAGCCCAAGAGTTCTAGTCCAGTCTGGGCAACATAGTGAGACCCTGTCTTTAAAAAAATAATAATAAAAATAGAAAAGGATTGCTGGTTATTACAACAATGTAAGACACCCTGGATCAGACATGACAATAGGTACTGGAAATAGAGGACAGGCATGGGAAGAGATGCAAACTCTGACCTCATGAAGAGAGGATAAGAAATGTCTAGGATTCCAGTATGGGTTATAAAAATTACTAAAGTTTCATTAACCAAATGAATAAAATTTATTAGTTTTGTTTTCCTCTTTGTTTTGACTATGAGGAAGCTCAAAGCCAAATATTTCCAACATATGAAATATGGCAAGTATTTCTGTGTACCTGTAAGTCTATATGTAATTTATTTTCCTTCTCTTGATAGGATTTTTATCTATATTTAGTAAGTCACCCAATTCTTTCAGAATAAGGCAGAAAATAAATCAACAGGGCTAGGCGCGGTGGCTCCCGTCTGTAATCCTAACACTTTGGGAGGCCGAGGAAGGAGGCTTGAGCCAAGGAGTTCATGATCAGCCTGAGCAACATAGCGAGAGACCCCATCTCTACAAAAAATAGAAAACTTAGTCAGATGTAATGATGCACATCTGTAGTCCCAGCTACTAGGGAAGCTGAGGCAGGAGGATCACTTGAGCCCAGGGATTTGAGGTTGCAGTGAGCTATGATGATATCACTGCACTCTAGCTGGGGAAACAGAACAAGACCCTGTCAAGGAAAGAAAAGGAAAAAGGAAAGGAGAAGAGAAGAGAGAAAAGAAGAGAAGAGAAGGGAAAAGAAAAGAAAAGAAATAAAGATTGAGACAAAGCCAGAGACAGCTGGTGAAAGTATCTGGTTCAAAGATATAACCTGCATACTGCCTACCCAAAGCATTCTCCCCACCCTTCTTCCACCCTCACAAAGGCCATATCCTGTTTCAGAAGCTGAAAAATGCTGGACTTTCACTTTCTCAGCCTCCCTCACAACTAGCAGTACCATGAGGTCAGTTTGAGCCAATGACACTGAAACATAAGTCTGCAAAGTGAACTTCTGGAAAAGGCTTTTCTCTGTTAAGAGGGAGTTGTAAGGAAATATGCTTCTTCCCTCCCTCTTTCTTGTATGATGTCTGGTGCTGCAGCAACCATATTGTAAACATGAGGGAATAAGCGTGAGTATCAAAAGCCAAAATATTAATAATAGAGGAAGAAAAATATACAAAGAGCCTCGATCTTTAATAACATTATTAAGCCACTCACCAGCTTTAGAACCACCTATTTCTAGACCTCTTGCTACTGGACAATAATAAGTCCTAAAATTCAAGCCATTTCTAGCTGAGTATTGTTATTTGCCAAAGGCATCCTAACTGATTTTGTAACAGATCATCTTGAGGTCAGTTCCTGACAGGTTGATTTTTATATTGCTTAGTTAAGCAGGATTATTAGTTATTAATTATTAGCTATAATTACCAGATAATGATAACCAAGATGGCTATATATAATGGCCAGAAAGAAGGCAATAAGCTAATAAAAGCTGCTGGGAGCAACCTAAGATAAAAATAGAAAAGGGGATAATGACAAAATTTGAAAAAAATATGATGAAGTGCCAGTAGGGGCACTCCTTGGCGGCAGGAAACTGAGGAAGAAGAGAGTAAATGTACAGAAGTCCTTTAAGGTAGAGAAAATGAGGCAGGCCTTCTTTTCCGGCAATGTTATAGGCAAGATTACCTAAAAATCCTTCCCAATATAAAACAGTCAAAAATTCTAGGTAAAGTGTAAGAAACATCTGTTTAAATGCATAGCTAAGTTCACAATAAAGGACCTTCCCAAGGGCCCAAAATCAAAGAGGAACCTCAAAACCAGAGCAGAAAGTGTAAGCTGATATTGTGTAGGAGCCTAAGGCTTTAGAGGATGGGGGAAGGGGGCTTGTGTCTCTGTAAAGGCACCTGTCCTTTGGGATATAATAGAAAAAAAGAAAGAGAGATATGACTAGACTCACATTTTCTTTAAAAACGCCATCTTGAAGACAATTACAGCTCTTGTATATATTTTTCAACCTCACCTTAATTACCCTTTGGAAGAGCAAATTCCAGAATTAAATGCACTTCTGGTACATATTTACATATTACGAAGGACCTCCTGGATATTTCACCAGAGCATTAAGTAAAATATGATAGATACAAATCATTTCCACAAAAACACCACACAATGCCCAAATTTTCAGATAGCATTAAAAGAACCAAACAATCAAGTATACAAGTTCAGCATATTTGTAACCATAGCAAATGGTTTCTAAATCTTAGTCATTCTTGGTAAAATTTTTATCCTTAGGGTCATTATAATATTCTTCTAATGGCTATGTTACCAGTAGTTTCATATCATCTCTGAGTTAATCTCACAGCCGTCTACATGACGAATTTTGGAGTCATCGCCTGCAAATAATAAGGGGAACCGGGGAAGGATGTGATGTTTAGGGACTCATCAGTCTCAGTCAGACCGAGAGGAAGGTTTCCAATATTAAAGAGAGAAGGAATTACAGCCTACAGCTAAATTACAGCTAAAACAAACAAGCAAGCAAGCAAACAAAAAAACTCTTAAGGCTCTCCACTTTGTACATGGTTCACCTTCCTCTAGTCTCATTTGCTTTCCAAGCTGCTTTGGAAACGGAAGACACCACATATTCCCTGTGCTCACCTTCACATTTTCGTGTTGGCTTTATGAATGGAACAATTTCCACTCTAAATTCCATTAAGCCACCTCCATCACTCAATTCATTCCAAGACCATCTTTCTTCAAAAAGTCCCCTTATCCTTGGGCAATCCAAATAGCCCAAATACCAACACATAGTTTACATTATCTTCACGAGGGTTACAGCTGCCTCCACTGCGTTCCCATATTTATGTAAGACTCAAGTGTTTTAACCTACTGCTTACACACACCGATGCCACAACAAGCACACCATCCTAAAAGAAGCTTTAGACTTTGTTGCATCTTGAATGTTTTCCCACAACCTGTGTGCGAGATGGTTCAAGACTAAGCATTTCTTCTGCAAGGCCACCAAATGCAGGGGAAAATAATTAACTTGGGGATCAAGAATCCAACTGTGAAAAAAAAAAGGGACTGTGCTTGGCTTGGGCTCTCCCTCTCCCGCTGATACGGGGAGAAGGGCCAGGGAACCGCTCCCGTCCCAGAGGACTCAGCATCCCCCGAGAGCCCGCTCGGGTCGGCGGGGAAATAAAGCAAGAGTTGGTCGTTCAGGGAGGTTCCGAGGGCGCACTGCATGCTGGGACTCGTTTCCACAGTTACCCACGTGCACCCAACCCAACCGCGGCCCGGCGCGGCTCGGACTACAAGTCCCAGAATTCCGCAGGACCGCCTTTCCCCTTCTCACCGACGACTGGAGCCAGACCCTAAAGGAAACCCCTAAAGCACCCTCCCCGCACGTCTGGGAGAAGTCGCGCCCCTCCAAGCGCCGCGCTGGGCTTCGGGCCCGGCCCTCCCTGCCGGGAAGCAGGTCCCAAGGCACCAACCCCCACACCTGATAGCCAGAAATTAGACAACTGCGTCACAAACTGCCAAACCCACGGGCTGCCGGGGACCCCGACACCTCCCCTGCGCAAAACCCCCACCTCGCCTTCAGGGCCCGACCCCTCCGGCACCCGCCGCGTTAAACCCGCAGCCCGCGCTCCCGCCCTGCCTCCCAGTCCCGCAGCCCGAGCCCGCGCCAGCGCTGACCTCGCTTCCCGCCGCTCGGGGGGAACCGCGGCCAGCGCCAACCTTGGGGCACTTCCCCCGTCCTCCACCTCAGCCCCGCCCCCTCCTCGCCCCGCACCCCGAGGCGCTGGGCTCCCCCTCCAGGGACCGAGCCTAGCCGGAGGGAGGAAGCACCTCCCCCAAACGCACAGTCCCGCACCCCCTAGCCCGGCGCCGGACAGAATCTGGACATGACAGTCCTGCTTCTCCTCCAACCTCCCCTTCTCCCCAGCTAGCTCTCCACCCCCACCTCGTCTAACCTATCCCTGCCTCCAGCCTGCCACCCCAAAGCCTCCCCACCTCGTCTCCTCTTCCTTCCAATCACCCCGCCGTCCCAACACGGTAACCCAACATCTTCCCCTCCCACCACTGTTACCCCACCATTACAACGCCCCTCCCGCCCGCCGGACTCCCCAACTATTCCATCACACCCCCA